GTGAGATTTGGGAAAGCTCCAAGCTGTGTGTGAAGCAACACTGAGAGCAAAAGCCTGCTGAAGAGGTTGTATTTCATTTTTGGGTGTGTTAGAGCAGCTATTTTGTCAGCTCTTTACCTGTAGCTTTTTATCAGACCTGGCTCGTACGAGCATGCTCACACATGACTAAATCAAATACATGATGATTCTTTAATCTGAGTGAAATGTAGGCTCCTGCCGGTTGGTGGAGCAGCGAGAGTATCTAACGGACGGAAAGGAGGCATCCCAGGGAGTATCCAGTTTTCTTTGTCTCTAGAGATTTCGTCCCACATGCCAGAAAAAGAGGAGGAGACAATTCTTGGTAGTTGTAGGAGGAATTAGGGTAGAAAGTGACTCAGCAGTTTCCTGACTGCTACTTCGATGGGAAACAGAAAGCAGAAAAATAGTGGCCACCTTAAAAGCCTAATAAAATCCTGAAAATGCTCAGTTTCCCAAGAAAAACCTTCATAATCTTCTCCTGGAGATCACTGTGGGAAGAGAGTGGGATGTGTCCCAGCTCAATTCACATTATGCATATAGCCCTCTCCCCATGTGTATTTCTGTTTTCCCGATCCTCCTTCTTTTACTGTGTCCAATCACTGTGAGATGAAGCAACATCACGTTGCCATAAACTCTGAAATGGCAGCTCCTAAAATCTCTCAGGATTGCTGCACAGTGATCACTGGTAATGACTACAACACAGCAAAAATGCCATGAAATATTTTGTGGAGCAAGTTGATGTTTTAAAGGTTGAAGGATATATGAGGAAAAAAATGCATCATCTTTCACCAACTGAAATAAGTTTTGTCCTTGGATAACTGCTTTTAAATCACAGTGACATCATTGACAGCTTTTTGCTATGCTTTGAAAGGCAGAGTTTTCACTATAATACTTTATCAAATTATTACCTCATTCAGTTTATCAGATATAAGATATCTGAGATTAATTATTAACTTTAAATACTTTACCCTAGTCTGTTCAGTCTTACTGCATGGCTTTTTATGACTGAAGTACTGTTTTGTTGATACTGACTCCCTCGCTATTTTTGAGGATATTTTCCTGCCTGTAACAACCTTGGAGTACACTAGTATTGGGCTTTTGTGTGAATTCTGAATAGCCACTTCAGTGGAGCAATTTATATCTTTTTAAGGAATGGTATGAAGTGTGAAGGCAGATGGTCCCTGAGGGAACTCCTTCTGCGTTGTGCCTGGAGCAGCCTTTGCTACTCCCTTTTATGGAGGGTCCTGGGCTCCTTGAGGTCTACGAAGATGTTCATGACCAGTCCTGTATTTCCTCCAGCTCTTCAGGAGGCCTTTTGCAGAGGGGCAAGGCTTAATCAGTCTTTGGGAAATATCCCAGCATAAGGGAGGTTGTTCCCCCATTAGACTGTCCCAGCTCTGCATACTGAGGAGCCAAAGCCAGAGGCCCTCTCTGCCATGCAAGATTTGTTCTGTCCCCTTCCCCTGTGGGCAGATCTAGGAGCTCCTTTCAGAGCACACACCACCAGCACAGGTAGGTGGAAGCTGCATGAAGACGGAGTAAAATTTTTGAATCCTGTTCTTGTGCAGGCGAGTCTTTTTAAAAGGCAAGTCTTTCCCTTAGAGAAGAAGTTGTTTGATACTTGCACTGAAAGTGTGAGATCATCTACCACCATGTTTAAAAAAGAAAAAAAACAAAAAAAAAAGGTTGGGTTCCAACTTGAGAAAGAGAACAGATAAGGTGTTACCTTTTTATTGTTGCTGCTGTTTGAAATTTCCCTGAAGGAAGACATGGGAAAGAATCATTACTGCAGTAAACCGGTTGAACAGGAAGGAAAGCTTCTGATGAAAAAGTTACACCCTCTTGGTACTGAAAGCACATAGGTCATCTGAATGTGTCTGTGAACAGGAAAACAGGAGACTGTATATTCTTCTAACAATATATGTATTTCAGGTAAGAGGTTGCAACAAATATTCTTACTGCTTAGCAAGTAACACAATCGTCCCCTCCTGGGTTCTGTTCTGGTAAAAAGGGAAAACTGAGCCCACAGTGCAACAAGCTTTTATACTAGAATGCATGTGCATGCTGAAGTAAGGAAACTATTTTTGTGTGCTTGGACAGCAGCTACAATGTCGTGAGTGTTGTGTAAGGCTGTTGAATCTCTTCATTTGTAGTGAATATTTTACAGTATTTGTTGGGATTCTCCTTAAAACCACCAATCCCAGAACCACATGATTATGTGAAAGCACAGCTGACATTTAAAAGGGAAAGGAGGGCTTCACAGCTGTAGGAGAAAAAAGCCAAACCTTCCAAAATGTGAATTCAAAAACTAGAAGACAAAGAAAATGAACCTAAAACTTTTTTTTTTTAAAAAAAATATAAGTTTTGCCTCATTAGTGATTTTTGAAAATTCAGTGTTATTAATCATACTTTGCGTGACTCAAATGGAGTAATAGTGGCTGGCAAAGACCCAAATCCTCTCCTGAACTTTGTATGCTGTTTCAAAGAGGATCAGGAATTGGCCCAAATACAGAGCCTACTCTTACTAACTGAACTAGCAGGGAAGACTTAAACCACTGAGATTTACATGCTGAGTTTCCACTCTAAATGGTTAGTTTTAAATGCAAGCCAATATAAAACAGGCACAGTGGTACAAACAGTACTGTAGGAGTGTCTGCTCCCTATCAGGCACTTGCTTTGCCTATATCCAGGCTGGGAGAGGAGCCTGCTGCATCGTATTACTCACATGGGCTTCTCAGCCCACTGAGGAGAACAGGGGAGCAGGATGCACAAACCAGCCGTTGTCTCTATAGCTGAACTACATGCTTTTAAAGACTACTAGGAAAGCAGTACTTCTCCTGAGCGGCATGGAGAGTGCAGGACACAAGCATTCATATACAGATAGATGGAGGTGGGCTCTGTGTGTGTGTGAATATTGGTCTGTTGGAGAAATATGTGATGCTACGCTTAAAAGCCTTAGTGGTGAATGAGCAAGGTTATCTGTTAGACGCTTATGTATCATTATAAACAGAATTTGTTTGAAACATAAAGAAAATACTTAGAAACAGTTGAAAAGGCATAAAAGATATTGTATTTTCAGTGCCTCAATTATAGTCTTCCAGGTCCCCAAACTTTATTAAGGAACATGGGGCTGGAGGGAGATATCATTCTTTTATTTTTCCTGAAACATGCCGATTTTCAAAACAGAAAGAAAAAAAAAAAAGTTATCGTTCTTTATTTAATGGGTGTATCCTTTTCTTTCTTTTTTTCTTTATTTACCTCCTGTAGTAAATGAGAAACAGAGGAAGTTGTAAATGAGGACAATTTAGTTAAAAATTCTTGTCGCCATGCTTATTAATTTTTTTCTGCAAAAAAGGGTGTCATCTTAATCTAAAAATGTAGTAAACTTCAGGATTCACTCTGAGAAAACTGCAGACACTGTAGTTGAAGTTCGTGCTTAGATCACCATTCAAAGTGGTATGCGTCATTTTGGTTATCTGGCTTAATGTAACTTCATAAATGCTTTTGATTTTCAAGGTGGTTAAAGCAAAGTGGAGCACACAAGATGCGGAATCACTAAGTCGAGTGCTTGAAAGAATAGTTCAGCCTCTAACTTGGAGATTTCATTTCAGCCTCTCTTCATTTCTCATTCCTCACTGTGGGTGACAGAAGCCTATGTCACCTAGAGTTTGACATCAAATGAAACAAAAATAAATAAAGTTGTGATGAATACCTTCTGTTGTAATACAGATTTTCATTGCAAGGCACTATTATCTAGCCTAATACAGTATAGATCTTGGGGACATATTAGAAAAGCTGTTTGTGGAGCTAAGCTTTAGCAATTTCTGTGCATAGTTTTTATCTCATTAGGTTTGTGGGGTTTTTTTCCTGGCTAAGGCATACTTTTTTTAATTGAATTATTAAATCAGATGTTTCTATTTCTTTCATGTGGTAAAGTACCCAGCACAACTGTGTACTTTATGCAGTATTGCTATTCTGTGCCATTTGTGTTTTTAGGCTACATCTGTATCAGTAAATGAAACAGGCCAAGGCCTTGAGGACAAGTGGCCCAGAATAGATTTTTGGATTTAGAACCAAACTCTCTTCCTAAAAAAGATACCCTCATGCCTACTGACAGCAGTCTCTAGTAGGTGCTGCCCATCTGAACTGTAGGACTACTTGACACATGCCAAAATCGTATCAGGAGTTTTTCTAGTAACAGCATGAATGATGGGGAGCTTCTGCAGAAGCTCATACCCTTGCCTGTGGATTTACCAAGAAAGATATAACTTAAGGCTTTGCAGATAGGTCTGTTGTGAAAAATAAAGAAACAAAAAAGGCTGAAATTAATTTATTTATATTTGTTTTCCTTTATATATGCCATATCCAATTGGGGTGAAGTGTTTTGAATATTAGTGGAAGATCCAAGTCTTCTATGTTCTTTGACTTAACTTTCTTCACCTAATTACACTAGGATAAAAAGTGGTAGAATATGAAGAAATGTGAAGCACAAAAAAGAGGAAGATGTGAATTGAACTGCCTTTAAAGTGACCACTAATACAAAGCTTTTGTACCTGCTTATTTTAGATCTCTGCATTAAGTATGCTATACAGATGTAAAATAATGGAAATAATATAGAGATTTTCTTTAATATTTGTCAGAATTAGTATTTGGATCAAATGTTTCAGGTATTCTGTTGCTGCTATTTAGAAGTCCAGGATAACAATAAAAATAAAAAAAAAATGTCGGAAATAAGGATCAGGCAAAAGAATACTCAAGCTCCAGATAAAGAAAATATTTTCACCCTGTGGACAAAGGTCTAAAGCAAAAAAGGAGCGAAGAAGTGTACTGCTTTCATTATCCTAGATATTTTGGGGTTTGACTTTTATTCTGTTCTTCATTTCAGTGCATATGTAGCTCCAGTTCTGGACATTACGTTCTTGACCTTGGAACTATTGTAAGACTTATCTGAGCATTAATAAGACCGAAGAGAACAACCAGCCATGGCATACTTTGGGAGGGCGCCTTTCTCACACAGTGAATTTTGTGAAGGACAGGCTGGGGACCAAGCATCTTGCCCAATGTACCATTCTGGTTCTGCTGGAGAGGTCCGTCTAGGATTCGATCGAATAGTTGATGAAGTCAGCAATGAGTTTTTTTTTTATGGTTCGTCACATTCACATCATCATGAAGAAATTTTTTTCCCATCGGATGTCTTTGGTCTGAACGTGCCTGACCAGCAGTTTTGTGGTCAGCCTCTAGTTCCTTATGGTGAACTTTGCCCTGGGAATCCTATCTCTCACTGGCAGCAAGACACAGTGTCACCAATGGTTGGCTTCAGATCTTCTTTACTATCCGATTACAGAAACTTCTCTCTGGTGGATCCCTACCCCTACAGTCAAGAGAGAGAATTCTATGGAGAGAATACTCTAAGTCCAGTCACAAGTGTGTTTGAGTCAAACGTGGAAAGAGGCAACACAAATCTGAATTTTCAGATAGGCTTTGACAATGTAGATGCTCAATGTCCTGTTTTCTTAGACAACTATCCATTTGGACAAGAAGCGAGAGGTCAAAGTGGAAATGGGGCAGCTTGTTTAACCAACACTTCCAGAAGATGCGACATAGGACCTATGTGGCCCACAAGCTTTGGACATGACAGAGAGGTATTTAAATTTTCTCATATTAACAGCGCTTTAAGTTCTTGATTCTTGTTTGTGTCCTTGTACTTTGTGTATTCACTCATACTGATGCAACATGGATTAGAAGCACTTGATTTAGAGACCTGATGAAAAATAAAACATTTATGTCTTGGGGGAAGCAAAAGCTTTTGCTGCTGTAGAGAGCTTTTGACACATGTCTTATGATTCAGCTGACCAAAAGCATCTGAGACTTCTTATTCACTTCTTATTTGGTCTTTACTTCCAAAGACAGAGGTGCAGGGAAGTGTCAGGTATATTTTCCAATAATTGTGTAACTTGATTTTTTTGGCAGTCAGAATTTCCCACTTTGTATCTTTACAAGGAGGATGCCCTCAAACAGACGGTACGTGAATAGTTAAGAGATTTTTATACAGTATGAAAACCTCTGAGCATCCTCTTCCTTTGATTCTAATATCAGAAGAGAACCCAGCAGACCATAAAAAATTACTTTTGAAGGGAAGGTGCCTACTCCGGCTAGCTAATGAGGATTTTATACTGGCAGAATCTATGTCCTACCTGTTTCATGTTTTAACCAACTTATACTTAAAATGTCAATGCATTTCTGCAACCTAGCTATTAAAGAAGGACTATGTTTTAAAGTAATAGGGCCAGTTCCTCACCTAGTATAAAATGAAGTTATCTCCTTTGACTCTAATGGAAACTTGCCATGTTACACCAGAATAGAATCTAGATTATGGTCTAGAATGCTCCAGTTAGGCTCATTTTATGTCTTATTGAGCCATAAACCTACCACAGGGGGTTAAATACAGAAATACAGAATAAGTTGTGTTTGAAAGAAATAAGATAACAAATGGTCTGATATGAAACCTGAAATTCAAAATAACAAGGCATTATGCTGAATCTTTTTTTCTGTTGATCCAGATTATTGTCTCTATGTCTATTTTGGCTGACATATCCTGATCCTGAGAGATGGAACGTACTGTGTCCTGCCTTCACCATGTTCTGCATGCACTTATGTGTGCATGTATAATTATTTTCTCCAAATAGACGTATCTACTATAACTGTGGAAGCTGGATCCTGTGACACATGCTGTCTTTCACTGTCTTTTTGAAGCAAATACTTTATCTTGTTTTTCCTCCTTCCATCAAGTGTTCATAGTTCCATTTGTGGTTTTGCTGTTTTTAATAACAATGTCTTATGGGACTCCCATGACTCTCTCTGATATTATATCTCTCCTCGTTTTGTTTCTTTCAAAATCCTGACATAGAGAAGGAAAAAAAAAATGATAAATCCTCCCTTTTGTCTAGTCCTTGTTAGCATTCTGAATCATAGGAATCCTGAAATAGCCTACAGGATACCTCTGCACTGAGAATATTGAAAGACAGTTTAGGTTCACCTTCTGCTTTTAGCTCCCAGAGATCACAGTATCATAAAGCAAAGGGGAAGAGATACTTGACTGACTTGTTTCTATGTCTGTGAATAGGGAGAACTATAGAAGTAAACATATGCAGACCCAGACAGATGGGGGGGTGGGGAATATATCTGAGGACAAGAACTCTTAAAGACTAATCCTGGGCACCACATTTTAGAAGTTCAGTAATGAATACAAAAGGGGAAGGGATGAATAAGTAGAGAGACAAAAGGCTATTGTTTCTTTTTGCTTATGATAGGAAAACTCAACCATGCTGACATCATGATGAAAAGAACAAGCCTTCTCATAAGAAAAGTAGAAAATAGTGGGACACAAACAAGCAGGAGGAGATTAAATTGTGATATGGAAAGAAGAGTTGCTAGAGGAAGCAGGCATATAAGAACAGGCACAAACGCTTCTGTGACAGAGGAGAGAATTATAGGGGAGGGAAGAGAAGAGTGAGTCAAGGGCAACTACAATCAAATGTGTGGGAGGATTTGATTAAGTCAGGGAAGCATTTGAGCTGTTTGACTAGAACAGGAAGAAATGGGAGAGAGAGGAGAGAATTGATTTGTAGCAGAAATATCAACGTGGTCACAGGAGTTCCTTCAGGGAGAAACAGCTATGTCAGGGTAGAAAGACAGGCAAGGCAAGGGACTGGCAACTGAACTTTGAGATGTTAAGAAAGGGAAAATAGGAGTGAAAGAAAGTTAAGAGAGGGAAGGTTAAAAAAAATAACTCTGAAGAAGTAACTCATTGCTACTGGGCTGGGAGTTTTGGAAAAGGTAAGAAGGGCTGCAGGGTGACAGGGCTGATGCCAAGTAAGACTGTTAGAACAGTTGGAAAAGTGGAGCACCATGGCAAAAGAAAGAGAACGAGCACAGATTGGATTGGTGAGGTCCAAGGTGAGTAAATGATGGGTCTGAGTAGTAGGAGATAAGAACCAAGACTGCAGACAGAGTGAAATGGAAAGTGTGCAGAAACGTGGAGATTAGCATTGAGATAGGTCATAGGTACACAAGATGAAATATTCACAGTGCTGAAATCATACTGTCATTCTGATCCTTAGCTCTTGGATGCAGTTGTATAGCCCTAGGTTTTTATTTAATGCACGCTAATAAAAATATGTCCAGTGTAATAAAGGACATGTTAATTTTCTCTGCCCTTGTCATCACCAAGTCAGATGTTCAAAAATACTAAACAAACTGTCTTCATAACATCCTTATGAAAAGAGATTTTCTTTTCTGCATATTAGAAAGGAAACTGAAACACAACTAAAAAGTACCCAATGGATTTGTCTGCTCCATCTACAATATTTAGAATCTAACGTTTTCAGAACAACTAGCAAGACTCACTTCTTCACCTAAGCCAAATCATCAGACCAAACTTCATTATTTCAGTTTGGGTGCTCCAGAAATGAGAAATACGTGGCTAGTGTTTATGTTTGTGTTGGTTCTGGTGACTTGATTAGCATCATGTGAGAAATCTGTGGATGGGAAAGATAGATCCCAGTGGTCCAGGGGTGTGCTCTATTCCTTTATCTCTGTTGTCATCTGTTCTCTCCATACGCAATTTTCTGTCTCATTCACTTCATACTTTCAGGTATTTGCAATGAGTGGAGACTGAAGTCCTATTGGAAAATAATGTGTGATTGTATAATTAATACTTTACCTTTATATGCAATGAGAAGAAAGTAAAGTTTCTGGACATCTGAAAAGAGAAATGACAAAACTAAAACTCTCATCCGCATGATTCATCAATGGAGTTGGAACTATATATCTATTACGTACACCTCTGCCACCAGAATGAATTTTGGTTAGTTAGCAATGATATATTAATTCTCTCTGTGTAGACTATTACTAGTCTACTCAGGATTCTTGTTTGCCATTAGACTTCACTCAGAAATGCTGTCAGCAAAGGTACAGAGAGGCAGAGGGCTCCTATGTTACTTCTGTCTCCTGCAGGATAGGGTGTGGATTCCAGCTTTGTCTGTCAAGCTCCTTTTTGCCATACTTTAGTAATTGTTTAATCGCATTCTTCTTCAAGCCATGAACTTGATGATCCATACCCATGTCCTCATGGCCAATCATCCTTTCCCAGTCTTGGTGCTCTGCTTGCTTAATTCCTCTCTGTTACTCCTTCCTCAGTTCCCAGTTTCAGTTTTGCTCTTTTAATATGTTCAGTCCCATTCAATGTCATGCCCCAGCCTCACTTTTTCTTACCTATGGCCTAATTTTCCTAGGTTTTTGTTTACCCCCTCTCTCTTTTTCCAGGGCACTGTGCCTACTCTGCAATGGCAGAGCTGCAGGTGGGAAAGGAGCCTTTTTTATATTATTACTTTTTTATTTTATATATATTTATTTTTTGTATTATTACTTTTCTATATTATTACTATAATATTATCTAGGTTATTAGAATGATAAAATACACCTTTCACCACTGCTTCTGTGACATGTTATTAGTTGCTTCTCCTTCTGACAGGGTTTGAATGTTGGTGTCTCAGTTGAGCCTTGTGTATGTCTGTATGTACCACAGTAGAATGGGCTTGCAGATATAATAGTGTTAAGCTCGTTCCTGCAGGGAATGTTCTGGCTGAAGGGTACTTTGGAAAACAGACAAGGGGGTGCTTTGACCCAAAATAGTGTCTCAGACCTGTGCTCTCCAAGTTTAGAGAGAGTATCTGGGGATTTTTCATGTTCAAACAGAATGCGCTGGCTTCCTGTTGTCTGTCTTAGGGACTTACCTGGCAAGTTTATGGAGTTTGAATGGATCCTGAGCTTCCTTCCAGGGCAGAAAGAGAGAAAATAAGGATTAAAACTCACTGCAGCATAAGCTTCATTTTGTCCCCCCTCCCTTTTGTAAACTAAGCATACATCTTCTGCATGTGGAGTTATCTGTGCTCTGACACTAGGTAAATTTTGAAAGCTTTGTCTGGAATTCCTTAATAATCTGCATGGAGGGGAAAAAAATAATTGTTAAATCCAGGGTAGCTAATGCTTTGTGACTTTGTGTTTTTTCTCTGAAAGCATTTAGAGTACTGTCAAAATGGGATTATTGGTGCTTATTTGGAGCTCTGTCAGGTCGGGGGGCGGGGGGGATGAGAAGGTATGCAAGTTAGTTCTCATTGAACCAAATACGAGGTTAGCCTTCTGCTTCTTCTGCTACCTAAATAACCAAGCTCTGTTTCTTCTGGTGTCTTTTTGGTATTTTTAGGCTATGGGTTGGTCTATCCAGCTGGTTGAAGCACATCAAGGAAGCAATGAAAACACAGTCGCTTTTTGCAATGCAGTGGAGAAGTAAGTAACGAAAAAAACTTCATTCAGACAACTGTGATAGTTCACTTATTTATATTAATTGGATTGGTTATTCCTGTGCATTTGGTCCAGCTGAGATGGAGTTAATTTTCCTCATAGTGGCCCTCATAGTGCCGTACTTTCTAGTGGCAGCTAGAAAGGTGTTGATAACACTAGTGTTCTAGCTACTGCTGAGCACAGCACCAAGGCTGTCTCTCAGGTGTTCCCCCCTCACCAGCAGGCTGGGCGTGGACAAGATCTTGGGAGGGGCCATAGCCAGGACACCTGGCCCAAACTGACCAAAGGGATGTTCCATACCACATGATGTCTGCTCAGCAGTAAAACCTAAGAGAAAGGAGGAGAAAGGGGAGCATTTGTTATAACGCTGTTTGTCTTCCTGAGCAGCCACCATGTGTGCTGAAGCCCTGCTTATCAGGAAGCAGCTGGACATCACCTGCTGATGGGAAGTAGAGAATAAATCTTTTATTTTACTTCTGTGTACAGCCTTTGCTTTTGCTTTATTAAACTGCCTTTATTTTGACCCACAAGGTGGGTTTTTTTTAATCTTATTTTCTCTCTGTGCTGTTCTGCTGAGGGAGGGAGTGATAGAGTGGCTTGGTGACCACCTGGTGTCCAGCCAAGGTCAACCCACCACACCCTGCATTCTGGAGCAGTGCTATAATTCCAGTATCTACTTAAATATGGAAACACTCCTGATTGTGGTTTAAAGATTAAAAACCACAAAGGAATGTTAACTCCAATAATATTTTCTTCCTTAGCGTCCCCTTTATCAGTGATAACTACATTTAACTCTTCAGTGTTGATCGTTTGTAGTGTGTGAAACTTAAGATCCATTTTCTGCCATTGTCTTCAACAATAGTGCCTGTGTAGCTCAGAGAAGGAAAGAAGAATTGGAGGAACTGACTGACTGAGAACAGAATTACTACATACTGTCATGATGAAAAGTGAGACTTAGCAAGTGACAAAAACTCCTTTAATTATTGTTTACCGTTACAGTTAATAGCGAGGCTTAATGGGATAGAACTTTTTTTTTTCACTTTCTAAATCTACTTCAGAAAAAGAGATTGTGTTGGAAACCAAGAGCACTAAGAAATACAAGTTTTTAGACCATCTGTGCACATTAATCTTCCTTCCTGGATATTCGCTGATCACACTATCAAGTCATTAGCACAAATGCATGCTTTTCCCGTCAGAAAAGTAGTTGGAAAATGGAATGCTGCTTTTTTTTTTTAATTAGACTTTAATGAATTGACTGTATTCAAGGTCAGCCAAGTCTCCTTCTCTTAAAAGAAAAAAAAAATCCAGTTTGATGTTGCCCTGAAATTAACAGTGAATATATTATATATTCATATGGAGTGGATGGTCAGCTTCAAAAGATACTCATTCACATACGTCTCGGTTTTCTTTTTTTCCACAGTTCATCAGTCTGAATCCCAACCCAATTCTAGTAATGTCAGATGCATGAAGGACCATTCCACATTACATGCTTTCCTCTCGGATATTCAGATTTTTTTAATGTCCAAACATTCTGCATTTAACTTTGTACTGTAATTATAGGAAAATCTTTCTTTTTTTTTAATGAATAAATGAGTTTGTTTACAGGGCTAAAAAGATGAATAAAATTAAGGGATTCCTGTTTTACAGTAACTTCTTTAGTGTGTCTCACTAGCAAATACTCTTCAAAAGAAGATAAGAACAACCTTTGCTTTTCATCTATCAAATAAATGGGAAAACTTTCTTAGGACAAAATGTCACAGCAAACAAAAGACGAAAAAATGTCATGAAGTTGCAAATAACTAATATATTCAGTCCTGCCGAATGAGCATCCTTCCAGTCCGCAAAGAATCTCAATAACTGGCAGTGTTACAATACATCAGAGACAAGATGCATAGTTCAAACTGTGTCATGCAGACTTACATCTCCAGCATATAACTCAAATAGAAACCCATTGTGTTTTTCTCTAGGTCATGTTTGTACAGGTAGCAATCTAAAATTGAAACATTTCATTGTACACAACTGTAAAGCAGTTTTCAAAATTCCTTTATCAGGTTACTTCTACAATTATGGGCATTACAGCTATAGCGAACGTTCATCCATGGGTGGCTATAGAATATGTCCTAAAGCGAGTTTGATACCAGAAGATGCCAAGCCGATAGTCTCAGAGCTCAGTGCTGCAAAGTACAGAGTTCCTTCTTCTCCTCCTAACTTCAGGGATGTGCTCTGCACAGCAGCGAAATACATAGCATTATGAAATGCTGTGAAATAGTAAACACCTGTTAAGTACTGTCTGAATACTCTGAGTTGTTGCAGCACAGAAAGCAAGTAGCACAAGATTTTCTGCATGTAATATTTCTGTAGTACTTCTAGTTATGACTTGGAAGACTTAACCTTTCAAAATTTTGCGCTGGGCGTGTTTTGCCCACCTGCTCAGGCCAGAAACCCTTTAATCTCTTTAAAAAAATAATAGATGGCCATAAATGAGTAACACTTTCTGGAACTGAATGCATTTTATCTGAAAAGCATAAAAAGCAAATTCCTGTTGACACATTATCCTAAAATATAGATAATGGGGGGGGTGGGGTGGTGGGGGGGTGTTAGGTAAGGAGATGAGGTTTGCTTGGTTTTGAAATGACTACCAGTAAGTTCTAGGGGGTGTTTCATGCCTCTGTGTGTACATAGCCCATTAACTTGATGCTGGAGAAAGGGTAGTGGAGTTTCCAGTCTTACTCAGTCCTTGACCTTCTTACAGAAACAGCTTACAAGAGTGAATTTAATGCTAGGGCAAAGCTTTATGTGTACCTTCTTCTCAAAGAAAATAGACTGACATCAACTACATAGGTCACCAAAGCAGCCTCTGTAGCATATTCATTTTTTACCATGAGTATAAAACTATCTTGTATTAGAGGTATTGTTAAGCCTCATTTCCTCCTACCCCACTGAAGCATCATGCCCCCTAGCTTTTACAAGAAATGAGCTGCTTCATTGGATTATTAATTTTGGAAGCCTAGGCTTTTTTTCCTTCTCATGCTATAGAAATACATGACATAAAAGAGTAGTTCATGCTGGTTTCAAGATTTTGGGCAGCAGCCCTTTGGCAGGAGGTAACACAGTGATGAAGAATTTTGTGCAAGAGAGCTATGGCTCAAAAATCAGACTGTATAAAACAGTGCCAACTCAGAAGCTACAACATGCTTCTTGAACTAACAAACAAAATATAATACATTATGCTTAGTACAGGGTGTTTGAGTTTAGCTACTGAAATATTCAGGCCAATTAATGAAATGTAAAGCTTCAGCTGATACAATATGTACCCTTACCTGCAGCTGCAAGGTGTATTTGCTTAAAACGCAAGTTTAATCTCAGATGACAGACATAATACCTGTGACCAGTGTTCATTAGGAAGTAGTACTTTAGGAGGAAATAGTTTCTGCAAGTCTTCGGTAATTGGAAGGAGGAAAGGCAATATATTTTATAGGTAATGCTATATCAGAGGACCTCAATGACTAACAGTTACTGCTCTCTACAGGCATTTACATAAATATCCAGGGTTTTAGTGATGAGGATTTCAGATTGGATTCTAGGGCACTGTGAATATAGGGGCTTCTTAAGATTTTGGATAGAAAGCATGATCCTGTATTCATTTTGACCAGCTGTCCTAGTCGCAGCTGTCTGTGCACGTGCTCTTGGTTAGTTTTAAGTTAAAACTGTTATTTAAGCACATATTTGGGCACCCTCCTTTCTGCTATGCTCAGTGTACACTGAAGTCTGTGTTTAAACTCCTTTCGGCTTCATTGAGGTCAAGCTCAGCAGTAATTCTGTGAAGTTCATGAAGATTTTACTGATGGTTTTCCTGTTAAGTAAAAGATGTAGTTATATGTACGCCGTCTGATATGTAGTAATCTTGCTAGTGTATGGAAACCAAGTTTGAATTGCTACCATTTTCCTCTCTGCACAAAATGTTATTCCTAACGGCTCTCTATGTACTATTTTTATAGCTATCTCATAGAATTTTTGTTTTGCTCTTATAAGAGAGCTGAAATGTATACCTATGTAGACATAGTTTCATCACATGTTCTTTTCAGGATAAGAAATGCCTATCCTGCTTCTGACTTGAAGACAAATACTGGGAAAATCTGGAGTGTCGCAACAAGGTTCCCAGACCAGGTCCTCGATGAATCAAAATTCAAAATCAGTGTTTGGACAGATTCTTCACCATATCCTCTGCTTCTTACGCAGCATGGTAAGTGATTGAGGTGTCCATATCCTGCCACAATTCAGTTCCATGGAGATGATAACAAAATGCATTTGTTTTCTGGAAAGATAATTGGAGAGCGTGCCTTATATGAGTCTTGAGTGCATACTTTGTCAAACATGTTCGGTATATTTGCTGTAAAATTAAAATCACATTAAATATCAAACTTTGCTAATGTGTAGATCTCTACTTTCTTTAATCATAATTGGGACGAATTCTGGTAGTCTTAAACGGGCTATCACTCAGACTTCGATCCAAAAGGAATTTAAGTATGTGTAGGGGTAGTCCCCATATAGTTGTGGAACTTTTCACAGCCTTGATTCTGTTTCTGAATCCAAGACTTAAGAGTCTGCAGTCACTAAGATACTCTGCACCCAAGGTTATGTACAGGTCAGGGAAAGTACATGTTGGTCATAAAATAAAGGGAGAAATTCTAGCCAGGGGAAAAGGAGAATAATTAAGAACTGTAAGTTTGTGCACGGAGGTTACAGAGTCTCCGTTCTTAGAGGTTTTTAAGGTCTTACAGGATAAAATCCTGAACAAGCTGGTCTGAATTCAGTGTTGACCTTCCTTTGGGGAGGAGGTTGGACTGGATGGACCTACTGAAGTCCTTTCCAACCTAAATTATTCTGTCACTAGTGCCTGTGGGAAGCTACCACCACTCCTGTGCATCTTCTATCTGTGGTGAATGGGAGAATCTTTGATTCTAGCTCTGGTAATTTTTACTTCTTAAGCCACATATGCAAAAATGAAATAAATTAGATTTTCTTCCCCCTGTGCTGCTTCATTAAGTGATAGTCTTTTTTTTAAAAAATGAATATTTCTTGAGTTGTCAAAGAATTATGTGGCTGTAACAGGCTGAGTAGTAGTTCGTTTGATGGGTTGAAAGCTGAAAATCCAAAGCTCTGCAGAATGTCAGTCAACATATATTAAAAAAAAATCTTCATAAATAAGGTAGCCAAGACTTAAACATTTATTCATACAAGGTTGGTTGCTTAATTTGGGAGCATCTATGTAGTTATTGGAAAGCCTGGAAACGTAGTAGGTTGTATCATCTCGAACCAATGTTTTGTGGATGCCATGAAACAAAGGGCTGAAGATCTTGGGACGCTTGGACCAGAAGATACTATTTCCAGCAGTTCTGTCAGCTAGGCAAGAGATCTACACTGAAGTTCTCTGTAATGCAAAAGTCTTAACTGCTGGCAAAGGTTTTGTCATGTAGCATCATTTACCCTATAGATTGTTCGATTATCAGTCAGCTTAACTTTATTTACAAAAATGCTTTAGAAGGCACAGCTGAAACTGAAGGGGATATAAGAAACAGTCCCTATTCTAAACTTGCTTACAGACTAAGTAAACAATAAGATAAAGTGGAGGGAGGAAGTACGCTTTTTTGCCTTGTCTAATATAAAGAGTTGTTCAGTCATGCAAAAACATTTGGCAGAGCAACGAAAGGAAAATGGGTCTAAGGAGTGCAAATGAACAATACCAGCAAGATTTTTTCCCATGTGTGACCTGAAACAAGTGCATGTTACAATTTTAGTTCAAGATTCAGTGCTGTTCTTCTTTTTCTGGTGTGTATAAAATTAGCAAACAGGCACTGCAGTTTACATGTCAAACCAGCTATGAGACACTGCTTGGAACAGCGAGTTGTGAAAGGGCTAGATGCTTAAAACTAGTAAAACTGGTAGAAAATGTTTAATTGAAGTGACTTTCTGAGCAAAAGAAAAAATTGCTTTTCATAGTAAATTAAAATGTTCAGATGGAACTTTTGAATCCATTGAGATTTTGTTTTGTTTTTTTTTTTTCCCTGGGGACAACCAAACTGAAGCAAAAAACAAGCTAGATGTGGTAACCAACTCTATTTTATTTCAGCTTTTCTTTTGTCACAGCCCCCTCTCCTAGAAATGTCAGCTATTCTCTGAAGTTTTTTGCAGTATCGCTTTCCCTTAAACTTCCCTGCAAAAACAATTTTGCATTTCTGAGTTTGTTCTAAAATAGTGGCATAGTAACAGAACCATATTTGCCAGTACGAATGTCTGCTGTGGTCAACTGGGTAATTCAGAACACCATTAAATCCAATGAAACTGGTTGGTTAGGCTCGGTTTGAACCAGTTGTCTGATCCTAGACCAGTGTGAATTAATTAGTCAACGCACAAATCTGGGTTGCGTGTTTAGTTTCTGGGGATTTGTGTTTAAATGTAGGTAGAGTATCCATTTTTATATAAAAAAGTTCACTTTAAGCTTCTAGTAAGAGCTCTTGCGGCCACTCGCTTTGAAGCAATAAAGAAACACCATGAATGCAAAGCTGAAAGGAAAATCTGCTTTGGCTTTTCTATTCTCAGCTAAAGACAATGAGATTGCCTGAGAATTATGGAGGAAGTCCACACTTTATTTTGCATTGTAAAACCACCTCGGTACGTTATATGAAGATTTTTTACTGAAGAGTCAGATCTTTTTTCTGCTTGAGAGAGGTATCTCGGACTTACAGCATCTGTGGTGCAGTGTGTTCTGAGTGCCTGTGAAGACCAAATGTATCAGACATGTTTGCAATTTGACTGCCAGATTATTTGGCTATTCTTTTCCATTTTTGATCAGTTCTAGAATGGGCAGAGAGGAAGTATATTGTCAGGGCTGGAAAATGGCTTTAAAAGCTGAAGCAGTGCTGGAGAAAATTCTCAAAATGCTAGAATATTTCTGAACACCCGATTGTACAAACTGACATAGGTCTTAATTTATATGTATTTTATATAATAATATATTACATATATTTATATACTATTATAATGTAACTATACGTAATATTAATTATTAACATAATGTATTACTTACATATAAAATGCATATGAGCCTTAATTTACTTCTTACAGTGGTGTGTGGTTAAAAAGGTTTGCACAGCAGAAACAAAAGCAAGTAAAATTCTGGAGCTGTCTTGTGTCATGAGTGGCAACAGAGTCAACTTCTGCATCGGGCCGTGTTCGGTACATGGGAAATGTACCAAGATACTCATCAGGAAAATGAAAAAAAACCCACAACAAAAAAACATTTATCTCTTCCTTTCTGCTTGGGAAAGTTGCTCAGCTCTTCATTCCAGCTACCTGACAAACTACTGATTTCCTCTAAATGGATATAGATTCCATGACTACTTGTAGAGTATTTGAAGCAAAATTGAAAAAAAAAAAAAATCAGATGTGGCTTTATCTAATTCCTCTTGATGGAGCTAGTCTTCAGCAGTAGCTAGGAATTAGAACGAAATTCTTATTTTCTTTGCTCAAGTATCTAGCCCAGAATTCTTTAGCAAGCTACTATTAATTTTTCTTGCTATCTTTATTTACAGCTGGCTGTATCACTCATGACTTAATTGTTGAGCTCCTCCGTTGCACAAATCAATACCCAGTCCAGACGGAGTGCCTTCTAAGTGTTTGTGGGTCTGATGAATTCTTACAAAAGTGAGTATCTCGTTAAGAGATAGTATTGAGTATATATTGTGTAATGTAAGCTGTGCATTTAATGTACTCTGCTTACGTGTTATGTAAATACAACCATAGGGAGAGTTAGAGTATTATATTCCAAACACTTAACGTATAGTTTCTGAAACTCCCAAAACACATGGTACTTATGTTCTACAGAGATGATAGTGTGCTCTAGTGCAAGGATTCGAATCCTGGCTCCTTTATATAAGCTTTGTGCAGCCTTGAATTATTTGTTTCACTCCATTGCCCTTCTGTTCTTTCTTATCCGTAATACAAGGATGCTGCTACTTCCAGTATCTCATAGGAGTGTTATAAGCATGAGATGGTACGCATATCCTCCAAGGGGGAAATCGCCAGAGAGGAGAAACTATTATACAGCTGCATAGCAGGTGATTTTTCTTCATATCCAGTTGCAACAGTAGTAAAGCAAATGAAGTCAACACCTTGGCGCTGACTGCAAGTTGAAGAAAAACACATTATACATACAAACAGGTCTTTCTGAGTGTATGTAGTCTACAAGTAAGGAAGTGCTCTGATTTGCATTCGTTCAAGTAAGCTCTTGTGGTCGTTGAAAGCACTACTGGACTCAGCTAGTTGTTTCTTGCCCTCTGGCAGCTTAAATTCATCTGTCAGCAAAAGTGAGCAGAGTTTGTGTTGAAACGGCTAAAGTGCAGGCTCTTGTCAGCTGTGCTGTAGGGACGATGACTTTCAGCAGAAGGGGAGAAGTTGGCAGTTCTCTGCAGAAACGTTAAACTGGCACTGCAGGAGTCACAGCTCATCTGTTAGAGACGTAAAAAGTGTTGGATAAAATTGTACACATCTGTAACTAAAAGGGAAATTCTTAGAAGAAGTAGTATTTGCTGTGTCATGGAAAGATTACCTGATCTAGCCCAGAGCAAGTCAGCTTGATTAATGAAACTAATGTAGTTGTGAGAGCAAGTGTCCCACTGTGTAAATTAGCTTTGTTCTACATTCAAATTGGATGCTTTTACTCTTACACAGGTCAAATGTTCAGAAATTTATGGTGAATTATGCTTTGCAACTAAAGATGGAGACTTCAACATCTCTAAGCCAACTTTTCACTTGTTCAAATCTCCGTAAAGCAGGAGCTGGTACAGCAGAGCGCTGTGCAAAGCCTTACAACACTAGAACTGCTGAACAGAGAATCAGGTTATACATAGATCTGTTAATTACGTAAGGAGGCCAGAGCTTTTTTTTTATTTTCAAGACCATCTTCTCATTTCAAACTAATTGCTAAAGAAAATGGAAATAACGAGTCATTGTATTGAGGGTGAGCTCAGTGCGTTTCGGTACAGTGTACAGTATGTTCTAAACAGTTTTATTTTCACTGTTGAGAAGAACGCATCAATAGTGGACTGTTTAAATTCCTGCACTTGCAGAATCTCTGCACGTCTCATTAGCAGTGAAACAAGGTCAATAATGTTCTCAGCTTTTTTGCTTTGCTCCTTCGCTGTCATGCAGAAAGCACTGAGCTGCACTTCTGGCCTCAGCAGCTTGTAATTCTGCACTATGCCGTACTTCCAGCTCCCTTTCTTCTGCCTCCTCGTCAGAGTCCTGTATCTGAAATTTGAAACCCCAGACCATAATGATCCCTTGGGTAGCTTAACACAGCCTGCGGAGTTGCCTCAGGGTGAAATTTTACCTATGTTTGGGCTATGTTTTAGTGCAAATTGCTTTCCTCCAGATGTTGCTAACAGAGTGATTTGAGTGCAAAATTTTTCCCCAGAAGATTATTTGGAAATTGTTTAGGTATGAATTCCAGCAGAAGTTCCCTAAATTATAAGACAGCAAAGGCAATAAATGCTCTTCTGCTCCTACTTTATTGTAATCCAGAAAAAACTGAAGTGAATACAAATCAGTAATGATGATGAATTGTTCTCAGACCAGAGTGGTTTAGTGAACCAGACAACTTTGTGAAGATCTGTCAAAGGCTTTAATTTACTATTATATTGGACTGTATTAATGAGCACTTCTCCCTGCCTCCTGCAGAAGCACCTGAAAGACTTGATGATTTCTGGAATCCTTTCAGCTTTGAATGAGATGGGGAAAAAAAATACTTGTGGGCTAATGACCATTACACCCGGCACCAGAAGGCTTCATCATCCATTATTCCCTTCCTATGGAGATATCCTATCAGACTCACAAGTAGAATATCAAATTTCAAATATCCAAATTTTTTAAAAATCCAAAGGCTGTGTATAGGCTGCAGGTCAGTCCATAACTAATGGAGCCATCTGTGAAATTCTGATTTGGAATCTCATTTGTTTTCTAGTCTTAAAGTTCATTTTGTTTACTGATCAGAAATCCTGGCCTTGCCTCAACCTGCAAGCTTTCGTTTTCTTCCTGTTTCCTTTTCCCTCGCATTTTTCTTACAGTGCTTGTAGAAGCTATCAGGATTCACTGCCACCTTGTCCCTGCCCCTTCTATCACTCTGAGGTGTATGTTAGTCACTTCCCCAGTTGATATGCTGCAGTTCCTTTTTTAGATGTTCAGTATCAGTGCACCTGGAGACAAAAACCTCTCTGAAAGTCAGAGACTCCTTGAAAGAAGGGAGAAGTAAAACCCATGTTTGTGTCATCAATTTTCACCACTATTCATGGTAGTTTCTGATTTTCATAGGTATATATAGACCCTCCTTCTCTGGGTTTCCCAGCTGTGGGTGTGCTCTCCACACCCTTACACTTCTCCTGTTCATGATCATCTTTTATTTCTTGGAGGGCCATCTGCTGTTTCTAAAAATTCTTCGCTTTATCATCCTGTCATCCAAACCTTCTACATCTACCTTTAAATCTTGCTCTCACAGCTTTCTATCTGTCCTTAGATTTGGAATGGATGCCCCTAAAAATAATATTATGGTGCCCTTGAAAGATGTTATATAAAAATAAATTAAATTGGGGTTAAGCAGCTTGTGTCAAATAACTCCTAGCTCTTAATGCCAGCAGCAAGCCAAACCCAACCCTTCTCATGTGACAGCAATGAATCAGTCCTCCATTTAGACTCTTTTGCCTTTAGAACTACAGGCCACAAACTCAGGGCATCCTGAAATGCCTAATAAAATGAACTACATGAGTGTGTATAAGAATATGGGGTGCTCTTTTTAAAAATTCTTAAACTTTTTTTTTTTTTTGATCTGTCTGCTAGCAATAGGTTGCAGTAGTGCAGACCCAGCAAAAGAATGTAGTCCATGGATATTTATAAGCTTTATTTCTAAACATGTCTTTTTTTTTTTTACACATTGGATTTTTTAAACAATCTTTTCATATGTATTTTTAATTCCATCCACACTCTACCGTAGTGTAATTTGCACAGTCACTTTACTGCTTTACAGTTTAGCCAACATAGAGAGCAGGAGTATGGAATAGAAAAGTCTAAATGCTTATCATTTCTGCTCACATGCTTGCCTGTGACCTTATTGATGACATTTTTTTGCCTTACTAATTCTATTCTCTGAGAATTGAGACCTAAATAAGAATTGGTTTTCACTCAAAGTGATGTTTAAGCTATTAATTATGCACTGGGCAGAGTTATATTCATGCAGATTGGGATCATAAGAAGCAAGTACCTTTTGGATGAATATGTTCTTTGTGAAAAATAAACTTCATTTTCTCTTGTCACTGCAGATTAAGTTTCTCATTCAAAGATGCTGCTCAGCTGAGTCCTTTTTAAAAAAAATAAAAAAGGTCTGATTGAACTACATTAGGATTCGGAGCTTATAGCAGATCAGAGAACCTTGCTGTGGGGAAGCAAAATCATCTAGTGGTGGGGGAGTCTCAAGAGACTGAGGGATTTTCCCTTTCTCTGCTTCAGATATGTTGTGAGACCACAGGCAAGTCACTTTACTTTGACCAGTTCATTATTATGTCTCTTAAAGACAGAGACTGCCTTTCACTTTATGTATTTTGTCATGGCACTCTCACAAAGCTATATTCTCCATGTAGTAATTCCAGCTAAAAATAGAAGGAAAAACTGTTGAGTTAATAACATTGCAGCATTTTTATTTGTGTTTCCTTTACAGAGCTCAGAGCACTGTAAACCAGTTAGTAATAACCATGCTGTCTTCCAACATGGGCTGTATTACTTTTGTCTTAATAATACGGGTGTAGTAGTAGATCTGCATAGCGTGTCACAGCATAAATGATAGTCTGTCAATCTTTGCAAATCTAAACCTCTGTTTCTCGTAGTTCACTTTTCATTTCAGGTTTCCACTTATTTTGTTGAGGCATTAATCCATTTTGTCTAGTCTCTTGTCTCACAATACCTGTCAAAACTTTTCTCTTTGTATTTATGCAATTAAAATCCATCCATGAAGTCAACTGTATGGCCAGTACTTCTGACTGCAATGTTTCAGGCAACATTGCTATGTCAATAAAGGATTTGATGATGTATAGTATCTGCCTGACTCAGCAGAGCTAACACAAACCACTACTATAAATGTAGTTGTAACTACAAAGTTCAGCTTCTGTTGGTGTAGCTTGTTTTGCCTGGAAGCATGGTGACATAGAATAATTACACTGGCAAAAGATAATTTTTATGCATCTGTGGTGCTAAATTGTAACTACAGAGGAGGGTATATCTATACCAATTTACACTAGCAGAACGCTCCTCTGTATTGGTATAGTTATACCAGTTTCTGTCACTGGCTTCGTGTCATGCTAGTGTTGCAATAGGAATCTGTATACTGAAGGAATCAGGAAAAAGAGACAGGACTCACAGGTGTGGTTTTTTGTAATTTTCTTGTTACTATGCGTGTCCTAAGGTTGAAGGTAAGGCAGAATGGAAAGAGCAGGAATAATGGCAGGGTAAAAGGTAAAAAACAACTGTGAGGCAGTTCTAAAGGATGCAAGGCTTATGAAGGAGTTCATCATTAGAGTCATGAGGCAGACATGGTTAGGTGAAATGACAAGAGGAATAAGTTTCCAGAAGGCTACGGGTAGGCACAACACAGATATGAGCTGAGGAGCAGCAGAAGAGAATCTATGCATTGGTACAGTCCCTGGAACTGGGAATCGGTCGCTTGGACTTCTGCTTGTAAAGGGATTTGAGAAGGGTTCAGGCATAACAGTGGTATGCTTTCCATCAGAACAGGTATTTTGCTGTGTTGCTGTTAGCTTCTCTCACTCTTACATCTGTAATTTATGCTCTTAAAATGACGGAATTTTGCAAACGTATGGAAGTGCTGTCAGAGGACCTTGTTTTAGATATTTGTTATGTCAGATGGAAGTGGATTTGTCCTCTTTTTGTGACCTTTAATTTATTTGTTTAAAGAAAAAAAAATTAAAAATCCTATGTCTTTTGTGACCTCTAATGGAGAGTATGCATTTTACCGAACTACAGTGTAGTGTAGGTGCAGCACATTTACAAGATATATGAATTACCTGTAATTGTGCTGAATAGCAGTTATGTACAGCACATTTATTTAAGTTTAACCATTCCTTTGTTCTGGGGACCTCTGCTGCCATGTGAGATATGAGTCTCTCCCCTAAGTCACGCTTTCCATGATTTATTCATAGGGTGAGTGACTTTTTGGAACTAAAACCAGCCAGTTTTATTCAGACATTCCATCAAAAGCCCTTTTAGGTAGAAAGAAACACAGTTTACACCTGAATTCTGAGTTTTCCATAGCACTTCAAAAACCAGAAAAGAAAAATCTTTCCTTTATGTCCCAGGGAGTTCTGAAACAACTTACGGTGCTGTAAATCTGTATAAATACGGAATATCCCTTTTCGCGCTTGTGTGGCTGGGGGATTGGAAAAAGCAACATGAATCTAACTGAACACATGCTAGAGTTGTAACTGTTGATGCATATTAACTTGTTTTGGTGATGACTTTACCTTTGCAAAAATCAGTGTTGTTTTTCCTACCAGTTAATCCCAAAGGATTTTTTTTAAATGTAAAAAGATGTTTGCCTTAACCCTGAAATAAATTTTGCATTATTCCACCTGATAAAAACAAAAAGCGGAAGGGAAACAGTCAAATTATTTTTGGTCCAAGTAATTTTAAGAGTAATAAACTAAGATTGTATTATAACTTAGAAGTTCCAAGAGTGATATATGCGGACTAGAAGATACTCTGAAGAGGCGAGTAAGAAATTCCACTGTCATGGAGTGCTGGAGCATTCTTGACCTTCAGAGTAGTTTGTAGGAACCACTCCAGCTGAATGAGTAGAGCTCTGCGTCTGACTTAGCTGGCATGTGATTTGAGAAGGAGGAAAACCGACTCTTAGCTTCTTTTACCATCTGTATGTGAGCTGCGCAGGGTGAGAACTTTGATTTCTTTGAGAATCAAGGGCCATCTGTCTTAATGTATGTGATTTTCAAAATTATAGTTAATGTTTTAGTTTTCAAGTTGGGTATCAAACACTACAAGTCATCCTGCAATGGTGCATTCATACCCAAGATACTTTGTATAAATTGCACTAATTTGGGTTTGAAGAATATTCATTAATAATCTCAAGGTTTGGGAGCATGTGCAGGTTGTTTAGGATATTCTTTCTCTGTTGTTCTGTTACAGAACTTAAAAGTCAAAGATACAACTAAGCAATTATTCTTAAATTGTTTCACCAGAAAATAGGCCAGAATCAAACCCAATCAGTTTTCATGGAAGCGGGTGCCAAGCACAGGTTTTATATTATTCAGTCTGCTTAGCACTTAAAATTTAGTTCACAGGTGATTTTAGGAGAAGGAGAGAAGAAAAAAAGAAGGAAGTGGCAAGCAGAGATAACCGTTTCTGGTTTGTGGTTTTTTTCCCCCCTAACTGCAGTAATCATACTTTGGGAAGCCATGAAAGCCTTCGCAAGGCAACCACCTGCATTCAGCTTCAACTACACACCACTAGTGATTTGAAGCAAAGTTTGGCTCGAACGGTATGTCGTTGTTTTTCCTCTTCTTTCTGTCAGCATCCCTGAAGGAATAAAATTCCACCAATCCGTTTATGTAGCAACCTGCAGTAATAATCAAAGAGAGATTATTTGCTTTCCTGAGAATGCATATGTTATTGCTGAACTCCCATTGAAATGTACCGGGAAACGTCTGTGCTTTGCTCCTGTGCTTATATCTAGTGAGTTACTGTAGAGAATACACAACTGAAAAAGACCAAAGGTTACCTTTTTAGAAAAAAATAATTTAGTCAGAATTTAGTGCTATTTATTTCAAGTGGTCAAGAAATTCTTATTTTTCATTGGCATAACCAAAAAAAAAAAAAAAAAAAAGGACAAAACCCACTCACGGTACTGTGTAAAATGAATTAGAGCTACATTCTTGTCATTATCACTGAAAACCAGGGTAGGCTGATAAAGACCAGAATCACAGTTAGTGTGTTATGGATGTGTGATGCATACTTGTGTGTGTGTTTGTGCATATTTGTAGACATGCAGAAGTGTTGTCTGCCCAAAGTCTGCAGGACAGCAAAAGCTTTGTTCTGAGCAGTATTCATTGGCAGTGTGTGACTGTTCACAGACAGTACCAATTACCTGCTTTGCATAGATATGCTATCAGCTTGAGTCTGTCAATATGTGGGTCAGGTGGCAGATTTCTAACAAAAAAGGGTAGGGGCTTTCTTTTAATTTCTGCTCTTTGTCACCATGTGAAACATCAAGTTCAATATGATATGTTATGTGGAGCATTAAAAAAAGGACTATAATAAGACCAATTTTATATATATATATATATATACACACACACATTTACCACTTTAATCAGTTTATAGATAAAAGCAGAATAATTTAGTGCTGATATGTACAATCCTGGCTTAAATTATTTGCATTCTTCACTGACAATATTATTCACTTAATCATTTTTTAAAAACCATTGATTCTTCTTGGTATAGCATCGTCCAAAAGAAGGTAAATCAGGAAACATGGAAGCTTTCATCACCAGGTCACTTCTTCAAAAATTATTCATATCAATGAATTGCCAACTGCTTACTCTCAGTCTAGAGGAAATGGTTGATGTTTGAATAATGGGGTGAGCAAGTGTCCTTCTCATGTGTCCTTTCTCACCCCATCCCCATGTCACAGCAGCAAAAAGAACACACCTAGTGACCATTGGAATGAGTTTTGTCTTGGGAACATATCTGTGGTACCTTGTTGTCATTTAACTGCAAGTTGAGATCAGGGCAGGGATCACCTGTGATTTTCATTGACTGGATTAAACAGAGATTAGATGGACATCATAGTCCTTTCTGGTGTTACATCTGTGACAAGACATCCTCTGTTAGGAGGTAGAAAACTTCATTTTTCTGTATAGTGCTGCCAAAGAAGGACTTGAGAGGAGTGGCATGTTGGTGATTAGATATAATTATGGATGCACATAAGTATGTGTAATGGTGGAAAAATTATTTACCTTTTTTAGGTCAGCATCTCTATCTTTTAAATGCAATGACGTGTTATTGACCCGTTTGCTGGGTAGTTGTAGATTTCCAACATTTTCTGGCTGAGAAATCAGTGACAGGAATTAGAAGTTTGATATGAATGCATTTTGCTGTATATATGCATATAGCATGTGGCAAAGGTACTTTTTACATGCATATACTGAGAAGAGGGAGCCTCAGACAACTTCCTGACAGTCTCCTCTTCGAACTTCCGAGACAACGATCGATTCTCTACAAGTTATTCTGTCTTTAAACAGAAAACTAAAATAGAGAGCAAATGACATATTTGCTGTATATAAATCCTCTGTTACTATAGATCTTGAAAGTTATCTACTTTGGAACCTAATGATATGTTCAGGAGACTCTTCTGAAGCTTTAAAGCCTTTTTCTGTGCTAAGGAAGCAAAACTGTACCAATGCCACCTGGAGACTGCCTTCATGATTCTTGCTTGCCTTACGTAACACTGTTGAAATCAGGATGCATAGTTGAAATATCTGTTTGTACATACAAATTACTATTATTTTGCTATTATGCTTAATAATCAATATAAGTGGATACTTATAAGTAATGTGCAACTATTTTTTTTTAAAAAACAGACAGCTTATGAACTTTGGCCAATAACTAAATGTTCACAATTCTTTTGTGAATTCAGCTGAAAAACATATTTTTTAAGGTGGATACTTGCTTCCTCTCCTTTCGTGGGAAACTGGCATTCTGTTATGAAGTATTCAGAAAGATGAAATTGTCTTGAACTGAGCAGTTACAAGCAAGAAATTTGTCCTGGGGCTTTACATGGAGTCACAGTTCTTTCAGCCAGTGGGTGACCTTTAATTTGATTTTGGTTTTTTGAGACATGAGTTTTATCAGCCTTAACACTCTCGAACAAAAGTCTTTTTAAGACCTGAACTTTCAGGATGCTAGATGCCTACTAAACTTCCAAATAAGGCTTATACATGTTATATAGGTTATCTATATTATATAGAAACATATTGAAGCTCAGTTTTACACCATCTAGCCAGACAAAGAGCTTCTGTTGACAGGAGTGGGAATTCTGCACCTTGCAGATTTTTCTCCACACATTGAAATCTCGGGAATGATAATGAATGTGTAGAAATCAAATAGTCCTCTTTTCAAATGGTGGCCCAGCGTACATGGGTTAGAATAATACTGAATAACAACTGCTAAATTTGTTTTGACTACAACCTGTCCTTCTCTGTATTGTAACCTAGATGGTCTCTAAGAAGCAGCTCTTAAGCACAAGCTCCTCAAGTTGTAGTGGGTCAGAAATGTTAAATTCCTAGTGACTAGGTGGTATTTAGGAAGAAATTCACAGTGGAACAGCATAGAAGCAGAAACCTTTATCCAGATGTTACATCCAAGAGGCCTGGTTTTTTTGGAATTGTCCCCACATACTGATTATCTGGGGAAAGCATTGAATGTTTGCAGTGGAGAAGCAGCAAAGAACACTTCTTGTTTTCTGACAAGAGCCTTGCTTGCTTTCAAAAAGAGATTTTTAGACTAAAGCAGCCATCATGCGATATTTCCTGAAAGTTCAAAAACATTTTTGTTTTCATATATACCAATGTTAATAGTGCTAATATTTTACCAGACATAATGAGTTGTGTTAACATGCTGACCATCATCACAGATGAGAAAAGTCAGTGGTCCATCATGATAAGAAAGTGGGGGGGGGGTTCCATTATTTAAATGTTTGTGCCTTTTTAAAGGGATTGTGTAATACCTCAAATAGAAGTGAGCATTTTCATGTGTTTAAGTGTCCTTTGAAATTGTGCTACTGTAAAATGCTTTGTGTTCTACTAATATGCTCAAAGTATCCTTCAACTCTGTTGTAGTTTGACAGGTCTAAATGAGGTTTAATATACTGCAATGCACAGTGGAGGCCAGGAGCAGAGACCAAGCATCACTTGTTGTTTCACATTTTGGATATGGTTGCAATTACCAGGTAGAATGAATACAAACAAACAAAAATAATCTTTCTAATTAACAAGCCTGGAAGACAAATTAGCAGTGTTCAGGCCATTAGAAAATATTTATTGTCTCAAAGAATTTGTGGAACTATAATAACCTACAATAGGGTTTAAGCAGGAAGCGTGACATTTTAAGATATCTTCAAGTGAATTATTGATCACCCCGTTATGGTAAGTGACATGGCTCTGAAAGCTTCAGGCCATGAAGTTACTTCAGGTTACTAATAATAGCAGAGAACATGAGCAGCTCGTGAGCTGGAATAAGTCATAGAACCAGAGTTTTCCTCCAGCTCCAGGGCATGCTTGTGACAGACCACTTGTATTAGAAAGGAGAGGTTCTGCTCGCAGGCAGGAGCACCAGCAAGTCTGTCGGAACCAAACAAAACCTAACGGAGGAGACACAGGCTATGGTACACTGAAAGCTGCAGTGTTTCCTTTCACTCTGGACCCAGCTCTGTAGATCTCTTTGGGTCTACTGAAACCTGCTCCAGCTACACTGAATTCAAGGATCTGAGGTAGTCTACACTGAGCTCACAGTGAATTTTGTTGCTGTTCTCTGAAACTTGTGGCTTTGGTTGAATGTATATGAAAGTCACAGACTTAGAGTCAGTTTATGGAAAATAAATTTCCCTCCCTCAGAATTCGTATAAAAAGATGTGAAAATAGTGTGGGTGGGTTGTTTGTTTGGGTTTTTTTTTAAAGGCACAAACTTTGAGACTTCTAAGATTCTTCAGCTATCTCAGTTATGCATATATGCAGCTACTGTTTATTTCTGTGAGTTAATCTGCGCTTACTCTTGGGGAGAATTTGACCTGGGATCTATAGGATCCTTCAGAATCTTGAGTTTTGGAATATGTTATTTTATAGAAATCTCCACTAAGGTTGTAGTTTAACTAGTGTCACAGAAACGTATGAATGTCTTGACAGCCCTTCTATATAATAATCACCCATATGTATTCAGGTGCTAAATAATTCACAAACACCCACCTTTTGCCCAAGTCCATCAGATCCCCTTAAGATTCTGGATTGCTATCAAGCACACATATCTAATTTCTCTCTAAGCTTCAGGGCTCCCTCCTTCAGCCTGCATCACATTGTTTCCAAGTTCATCCCTCCCTGTCCTCTCTAGTCCTGTCAGTGTATGAGATCAAAAAGGAAGTTTGTCGTTTATCAATCTTGTTCTGTAGCTCAAGCAGCTCAAGCCTTGTCCCTGTGATTGCTGTTTAGATGTGCTCTGCTATTTATAAGGTCTCCAGAGGTGGCAGTGTGACAGCTAAGCATGCAGTGACATTATAAAAATGCAGGGTGTGTTTTGCAGAACGCATACACTACTCATCTGTAGGGTGACATGCATTTAATTAAAAAAAGGCTATGATCTGCTGAGAGTCAACATGGATGTGATTGACAATTGCTCTGTCTAGAAGTAGCAAATTCAAATCATGATATTATAGCAAGCAACTATAGGGTGCTGGGTGCTCTTTCCTTCCTGGAATGCACGCTTCTGATTATGGTAGCACTACAAAATGTTCTCAAGGCTTGAGATGTTATACCAGTCCTCTAGCATGCATTGAAGCAGCATGATAGCTGTCAGAGGTCAGATGCTCCAACCCTCAGAGTATGGTATGGGCAGAAGACATGAGCTGTAAGCAAAACCAGCAGTTACTGGGTCAGAGCCATATGTAGCACAATTAGTGCTGCACTCAGGAAATTGGCATCGATAAGCTATATGTGTATGTCTTGTAGTAATTTTTGTAGGAGCAACTCAGTGGGGTTCAGAGGCAGATTCTGAAGTCATTTGAGAAAAGGCCATCTAACCTCAAATGCATCCCCTAACCCCCGAATACTTACCTTGTCTTCTCCTCTGTAATAACATTTAACGCTCTCACATCAATACACTGAGGTAAGGATCACAGGTCTTTGTATAAGATCAAATGCCCAGACAAAGTGGAGCTTAGTGCTTGGGTCTAAGACACATACATTCAGGGATTAATGCATGAGAATGTTTTTCTTACTTTCACCCTCTTCCATTTCATTTGTTGAATTCATCTTTCACTTACTGCCACTATGTGATAAAAGAGATAGTAACGCTCCAGATGGGAATTCTTTACAGAACATCTGTAACGTATCTAGCTCAGCAAGATCCTGCTCCTTAAACGGTGCTATTGCTAAATCTCTATATAGCAATCCAAAGCAGAATTAGTGTGAATTAATTCACATGTCAAGTAACATATTTAAATTGAATCCAACCATAGCAGAGACACAAGTTGCTCAGGAATGTTGGCTTTAGACCATTACTATACTTCAGTCAACTAGAAAAAATTTCTAGTGCAGTCGCTTTATTCTGAAAAGCTTTCAATATTTAAATTCAGAAACGTTCAAAATATTAGGAGAAGGCTTTTTTAGCCAAACAAGTAAAAGACTTTTTTTTGTCTTTAGAAAATACAAGTTTTCTTTTGAGTTCTGCTTAAGAGGGAAAAAAAAAATCATGAATCGTATTTCATCACTGTTGGATTATACTGTTCTCATTTTTTTTCTTTAAGTTTTGTTTATTGTATGAAAGTTATAACAGTAAAAGATGAACAGATTATTGGTTTTTTTCTTACTGAAATGTTTTGCTTAAGGTTAAAGCATTATGTCTTCCCTTCACAAAAATCTTCAAAGTTTCATCAGTTCATTCCAGCCTAAAATGGAGTCACCTTTCAGATTCTTCTGTATCCTTGACCAGATATAATTTCTGTTCTCTGCTTCACCTTTGAGCAAACACATATTTTAGATCAGTACACATGTAAACAAACAGACTGTAGCCTGGTTGCCTAAGCTGTGCCCATCCCAGCCATCATTTGCATTCCTAGTGATACTAAGAAAAATAGTGTCTGGCAGTTGTCCTAGCCACTAGGGAAACAGAAGCTCATCACTACTAGACACCTATGTGCTGTGCTGCTCTCCTGCTTCAGTCTTCTTATTTAATTCTTTTCTCTTTCATCCCCCCACCTCTCCCAGGGTTATAAAAAGAGCAGGATTTTCAGGACACGGTGATACCTACAAGCTGGCAGCACATGCCTAGCTTAGGCTGAGCTACCATGGGGTGGGAGGAGTTAAGACATCAAAGGCAACAAATCCACGGAGCTGGAGAAAGGGCTATGTCTGAATGAGAACAGGTCTGATCCGCAGAATTGTTCAATTTGGGCAAAACGCAGAATTGTTTAGGCTGGAAGGGACCTCATGGGATCATTTAGTCCAATTCCCCTGCTTGAGCAGGGTCAGCTGGAGCAGATTGCCCAGGACTGTGTCAGGTCAAGTTTTTAATATCTCAGCAGATATTCAAACCTACCCCACAACCTTTCAGGGCAACCTCTTCCTGTGTTTAGCTGCCTTCACAATATTTTTTTTTCTTGTGTTAAGGTGGAATTTCATGTGTTTTAATTTGTGCCCTTTGCCTCTTGTCCTGTCAGTGAGCACTACTGAAAAGAGTCTGACTCCCTTGTCTTCATTAATTCACATCAGATATTTATACACATTGATAAGATTCGCCCTGAGCTTTCACTTCTTCAGACTGAACAGTTCCAGCTCAGCTTCTCCTCACACAAAAGATTCTTCAGTGCTTTGATCACCTCTGTGACTCTTCATTGGGAGAAGTCTCTTCAGATGGTTTGCAAAGGATGGTACAAATGTTCTCCATTCTGTTCTCTTAGAGAAGGAAGCAGCAGAGAGGTTGTGGATGCAAACTGATTTCTGCTTCATGATTAGTGTATATTTCTATTGCCAAAAGTTGGCTTTCTGTAATAAGAAAGCAGAGGCAGGCTTTACTGAGGTTTGGCTGTATTCTTAATCTATACATAGCTAGAAGGAACTACTGTGACAGTCTGCTTTGACCTCCTATATAGTGAAACCCAGTGTAATGTGAGAGAGATTCACCAAACAAAATATCAGACTGAAACATCCTGAAAACTCTGAAAGTTCCTAAAAGAACATGCTCACTTTGGAAAAATCAAGCAAATCTCTCCAACATACATTCTTACTATCAGAATGCTATATCTCACTATATGCTTCTCTTCCACAGCATGAGGATGACCAAAGACGGTTCAGTGTGAATCAGCTATTAGAAAACACTTGTGCCTGGAGGCTGACTCGGTAAGAACACTGGTATTTGACAGTATTTCTGTTTGTAATTGTTCGTAACTGGCCCCAAAGGACAACTCTGAGACCTACTGGGGACAGGAATAATACCAAAGAGAAAGAAAATGGGGTCAACATTTTAGACTCATTTTCAGACCTTATTGATTGCTTAGCAAAAATCAATAATGCTTTCTAGATCTGTGTAATTTTTCCCCATCCTCCCTCACATCACTGAAGGTTCCGTTAGAGCTTTCGTGTGTCCCAAAGATTCCCAAGACAGGAGGAGTCATATTTTTCAAGTGTACATTGCTCTTAGAGAATTTTCAAGAGTAAATACTGTAAAAATAATAGACTTGCTTTTCATTATGCCTGTGTTTTCACAGTTAAGTGATGTTTTATTTTATTTTATTTTTTCAGTGAAGGCTAGCTGAAGGCGCACTTAAAATGCGTCTGACTAAAGCTAACCTACCATGGACAAGCACTAAATGAGATAGATTCCTGGCTCAGCTTTCATTACGTTCTGTTTCATGCACTTAGATAAAGGAGCTGTTAACAGTTTTTTGTAATGTTTTTCATCAGTGTGTTATAAAGTACTTTGCCAAGAACGGTAAATGCCACACCTGTCATTTAGCAGATGGAGGAAAACAGAGAGATAGTGACTTGTTCAAGGTGAATATCTGGTGCTTACTGAGGACCCATCTGGTTTCCTAGGAGCATGACTCAAATTTCCACTCTGGTCCTTGCTATAAAGAGATCAAACTAATCATACAGTTTATATACAAGCTATTTATTGACTGTTTCTCGTGGTGTAAAGCATGTGGCCTTTTCCATTGCAAACAGAGTCTTCAGAGGGGATATGGGATAAAAGATGTTGAGCTCCAAATCAGCTATGGTCTGCAAAACTTCCTCTGATACTGTAGGACAACAAGTACTTTCTTCAACTGCAAGTTCAGTAAAGACTGAAAAAAGTAAAAGCTTGAACTATATTTGATCACTATTTCCTGCTTGTTCCATGGATTGTTGATGCCTGCGAGAAAACATTTTCCAACAGTGATGACCCAGAAAGATCTGTGGTCAGGCCCTGTGCTCTCAATTGCATTTCTAGCTTATCTGATAAAAAAAGGAGTAATAGCTAAGTGACAAAAGTTGTCCATAATGTGCACAGGAGCTGCCTGTAATGATTTGCAGAAGGATTTTACAATGCTGAGTAGAGTGTATGATAAAGTGGCAGATGAAATTTTAAGAAGACAAATGTAGATGTGAGGAAACGATCTTAATTTCACAGAGGAGATCATAGGCTCCGAGTTCACTTTTACCACCATGAGTAAGTTCTTGGGGTCATAACAAATAGTTCTTAATGTCAGCTTGGTGCACAGCAGCTGAAAAAAAAAGATAACACAAATGTTGGGAATTATTATGAAAGAAATGAAAACCAAAATAACGGTATTATGCCACAGTGTCAGTGTAGGATGTTCATTTATCTTGAATACAGCTGACAGTTTTGCTTCTCCCATTTCAAATATGATGTAATAGAACTTGAAAAAGTGAAAAGAAGGGCAGCAAGGATGCTCAGAGGAATGAAATTGCCTTCTATATGAGAAACAAATAAGTAACAATATTCTTCATCCTGATGAAGAGATAATAGAAGATAGGTATTTTGTAGATGACATATCTGTGAAATTGAGTCCAATGTCTGCAGGAAAGGATTATTTACTGTATCTTCCAATGCAGGATAAAGGGAGCATGAAGTGAAAGCAGCAGATTCAAAACAGACGAGAGTATAAGACCTAATTAAGTCACATCTGGACACAGCCCAGCTTATCCGGGACTGTCCAGATGGTTTCTGAATACCTCCAGGGAGGGATACTCCACAGCCTCTCTGGGCAACTTGTGCCAGTGCTCAGTCACTCTTGGTACATACCTCCTGTGCCCATTGTCTTGTCACCTGGCACCGCCGAAAAGAGCTTAGCTCCATTGTCTTTGCACCCTCTCTTTGGGTGTTTATATGCATCAGGAAGATCCCCCTGAGCTTTCTCTTCTTAGGCTAAACAGTCCCAGCTCTCAGTCTTTC